AGGCAACATTGAGAAGAATGAGAATCCCATAACAAGTTGGGTTCATGTGAATCCTATACATAAACCAAGAAGCAGTTGCTACAATAGACACTCACACACTGTTGTTATGTGCCATAAAGTCTCTTGCAACTCATAGAGACCTTATGTACAATAGCTCTGAATCCTGTAGAAAAGTTGGATTTTCATTCATTCACTGTTGCACATTTTCCTCCCTACCCCCATTCACTTTTTTTTAAAAAAAAAAGAAAAGATTGTCTTTTTTATTTGTGGGTTTCCCCTGTGGGAATAGGCATGCAGACTCTGGCTGCTTCATACTGAACAGGGGCATTGAGATGAAGGGGAAGGGGAGCCCATTTTAATACTTTATTGGTGGTCTTGATTTGAAGCTGCATGCCTTATTCAGTTAGAAGATATTTACATGACGTTTTCTGCCCTCTGGACTGCAAAGTGTTTGCATGGGTGAGTCCAGTGGGAGTGGCTGGCTGAATTTTCCCTTTTGTCTCTGGAACTGGGCTTAGCGTTCAGATTCTGGAACAAGACTACCTATACGAAAGGGAGTAAACCTAGAGAGAAAAAAACTTGAGTTACAAAGAAAAGGGCTTTGGAGGTGTTACTTAAAGGTGTACAGGAGGAGGAGATGGAGGGAAATGGCTTCAAGTTCCTCTTACACACCAGGTGACTCTCTCCAGGGGCTGGGTGGCTCTTCCCTGCCAAGTGGATCATCCCAGAGGCTGGGTGGCTTTCTCCAGGGGCCAGAGGGCTCTAACCCGCCAAGACCTTGAGCCTCACCTGGGACTGAGGCTGGGGACAGCACTTCTAGCTCCAGCTCTGCCATCATTGCCCCCTTACTCTGCCAAATGGTCTAATTGTCACTTGAAGTAGGTATTACTTTCCTCTTCCACAAATGGAGAAGGAGCTTCCAGAGAGGTAAACAGACTTGCTCAAGGTTGAAAAAAGTAATAAAGGCAATAGAACAAGGATTCAAACCAAGGTTGTCTGAAGGCCGGGTGAGCTCCGCACAATGCTAAGGTCAGCCATCTTTCTGGAACCTGTTTTGGGATCATTTAGAAACTGACTCCATCCCCTCATTTTCCTGGCAGACCCTCTTCTGGTTGTGCCCAAGTTCTCTCACACCCTGGGCACACACCTGTCACCAGCTTAGCTTGGGCCCCCAGTGGGAGCCGACTGCTCTCAGCGTCGCCTGTGGATGCAGCTATTCTCGTGAGTTGTCCCCTCTATCCCCTAAGATCATTTCAGCTACCCTTCACTCTTGAGGAAAGAACGTTTTTCACCTGGTGATGGAAGATATCACTTGGAAAGAGAGGGATAGATAACTCCATTTAGTTCTAAACTGATCCAGCAAAAAAGCTGCTTCTACCACCCACACTGCTCAGATTTAAAATTTGCCTTGCTCAAAGTGTAAACATAAGTTTCCTCATTGTTTTTAAGTCCTTCCCCCCGACTGTGTTATATGCCATGAAGAGCAGCTCATCATCAAGAGCTTGGGACCCTTGAGCTTCCTTTGCCTCACTCTCCTAGGTGTGGGACGTCTCAACGGAGACATGTGTCCCTCTTCCCTGGTTCCGAGGAGGTGGGGTTACCAACCTGGTCTGGTCCCCAGATGGCAGCAAAGTCCTGGCTACCACCCCTTCAGCTGTCTTTCGGTGAGTGGGAGCATAAAAAAGGGAACTGGCTCATGTAACTTCTAGCAGGCAGAATCTTCTGTCCCATTTTCTTTTTCCCCCATGACCCTGGGACTGACAAAGTAAAGTAGGTCCAAGTTTTGAAACCTAAAGACCCTAAGCTGCGACTTACCTCTGTCTCAGAGTCTGGGAAGCCCAAATGTGGACCTGTGAGAGGTGGCCTACTCTGTCGGGACGCTGCCAGGTAAGAGGGGATTGTGGTTCACAGAAACTGGGGGGCCAATACCAATTCCACTGGGTCCCTAATCCCCTGAGCCCATTCACTTCCTCTGCTGTTTTTTTTTGTTGTTGGTTTTTAATACCCCTTTTCTCCTGCCTTTTGATTCTTCATCTCAGACTGGCTGCTGGAGCCCAGATGGAAACCGACTGCTGTTCACTGTATTGGGGGAGCCACTAATTTACTCTTTGTCATTCCCAGAACGTGGTGAGTTAGGGGTAACAGAAGGGAGGCAGGAACACTCTGCAAAAATTACTCCATGGACTAAAGTACCATATAGAAGCAGCTCAGGTATTCACATGTGTAAGGGGCAGATAGGGGTGGGGTGTTGGGGGGATGGGGCAGACAGGGTTGGGATGGAAGTTGTTCTGGGGCAGTGAGAAGATTGTTTCCTGTATTTAGTAAGAGTCCCTATCCATTCAGTACTCTTCTACTGAATATCCCATGGACTGCCAAAAGACAGATGCATTTTGGAGAAAGTGTAGCCAGAGTGCTCCTTAGACACAAGGATGGTGAAGCTTTGTCTCTCATACTTTGGATATGTTGTTAGGAAGGGCTAGTCCTTGGAGAGGCTCATCCTGTACGGAAAGGGTCAGCAAGAGAAGATCCTCATTGAAATGGATTGACAGTGACTATAGCAATGGCATCCATTATGTCAGAGATGATGAGGATGGCACAGGTTAGGGCAGGGTTCAGATCCGTTCATGAGGCCACCTAACCGCCACCACCCTGATCCACAGGTGAGGGAGAGGGGTGTGTTGGAGGTGCAAAGTCGGCAACAATTGTGGCCGATTTGTCTGAGACTGCAATACAGACACCAGATGGAGAGATGAGGTGAGCTGGGTGGGTGAAGGTGGGCCAGTGTAAGGGAGGTGGGACAGAACACACTTGAGTCCTCTTAGTCTACTCTTGTGAACCGTAGGCTTGGTGGAGAGGCACACTCCATGGTCTGGGACCCCAGTGGGGAGCGTCTGGCTGTGCTCATGAAAGGTAAGAAGGTTGCTCAGGCCACAGCTGACTTCCCCATTGTGTTCACAGCCTGGCCCTGGTCTGTTGCCTGGCCTGGGTTTGCCTTGTTTTTCCTAATCCCTGGGTCCATTTCTTGTAGGAAATCCACGGGTACAGGATGGTAAACCAGTCATCCTTCTTTTTCGCACTCGAAACAGTCCTGTGTTTGAGTTACTTCCCTGGTAAGTGGTGGGCACACTACTGAGGTGGTCTTGGTGCCTCACCAACCTTTCAGCCTCAGTCCTGCATCCTGCAGTGCCTCCCGTTGTCTCCACTTGCCTGCTTACCATTTCTCCATTCCTTTAGTGGCATTATCCAGGGGGAGCCAGGGGCTCATGCCCAGCTTATCACTTTCCATCCTTCCTTCAACAAAGGGGCCCTGCTCAGTGTGGTGAGTAGGCCAGACTGTTGGGAGACTCTGGGGTGGAGTGGAACATGAAAGCCTTGACTGCTGTGTTCTGCCATGTGGCCCTGAGCTTTGGCCTTTTTTTCCTTCCTTACAGTGCTGGTCCACAGGCCGAATCACCCATATCCCTCTGTATTTTGTCAATGCCCAGTTTCCACGTTTTACCCCAATGCTTGGCCGGGCCCAGGAGCCCCCACTTGGAAGTGGAAGCTCTGTTCATGACTTGCCTCTCTTTACTGAGACATCTTCAACCTCTGTCCCTTGGGACCCAATACTTGGCCCATTACCTGCTCAATCCCTCTCCTGCCTCTAATAAACTTCATTTTTCAGTTACCACATCTGTGTCTTTCCATAAAATCAGGTACATTGTTGTTTCCTTTGGGTCAATTCCCAGGCAGTGCTTCACATGCTGAGTAGTAGGTGCCACTGCACTCACTTGGAATGCTGTGACTGTCTGGAAGCAGATCACCAGGCCTGTCTTGTCTTTTTCATTTTTAAATTAATTTTAATGAAAGTTTACTTAGAAAAAAAGTTTCTAGTCATTCATTGTTGCCCTTTACTCCCTAACACACTCCTTCCCCCCATCTCCCCCAGTTCATTATCAAAAATATGGAACCCTTCATGAACTTGCATGTCATACTTGCACAGGGGCCATGCTAATCTTCTCTGTATTGTTCCAGTTTTAGTCTCTGTGCTGCCAAAGCACCGGGCCTGTCTTCAGAGTACCTCTGGGGTTTGAGTACTTACCAGGTTTTATATCAAGGCTTCTGTAATAGTGTTTCCAAACCAAGCCCATTCTCACTGAGTGGATTCAGATTTATAGTAACCCTTTCAGTAGAACTTGCCTATAGCGTTTCCAAACTTATCTTTATGGAAGACTGTCTCATCCTCCCGCAGAGGACCTGGTGAACTTTTACTGAATAGAAATTTAACTGTTCACCAGGGCTCGTTACAATAGGATATAACCAAACCCACTTAATCCAGTGGTAGAAATCCTATGCTTTCTACTCAAAGTGACTCTGTAGCACGAGACATGGTCCACAGGAAACTATAGAGCTTCCAAAGCCATAAATCAAAAGCAGATTTTTCTCTCAATGAGCAGCTGGTGAGTTTGAGCCACTGACCTTTTGGTTACTTGAATTCTTAAAGCACCAGGGCTTCGGTAATATGGTATACCAAAAACCAGACTACCTTCAAGCTGGGCCTGACTAACAGCGACCCTCCGGTGGGTTTCTAAAGCTAAAAATCTTAATGGGAAACTAACCAACCATTTTTCTCCCTCTGAGCTGCTAGGGCATCCATTTATCTATTGTCCAAGACTTGGGTAGTTTCCACCTGTAAACAGAAGGCCATTTGTCATGTACTGAAGTGTGTTCCCCCAAATTACACTTATGTAATGATAAAATGTAGAAGCTATGTAATGATTCCATGTGCTGGTAAGCCACACAGTATAGAAGGATTAAAGGGAAGTTCCTATGTGGCCTGTAAACCCTTCACCTCACCTTTAAAGTGTGTTGTTAGGGAAGAGTACTGAACACTTGGACTGCCAAAAGAACAAGTGTCTTCAAGTATAACCAAGGTGCTTCTGGAAGCAAGGTTGGTGCAACTTCATCTCTCATACGTTGGGCATGTTGTCATGAGGGCGAGCTAGTCCTTGGGAGAACACATCATGTTGGGAAAGATAAAGGTCCAGAGATCCTCAATAAAACAGACTGAAGTAGTGACTTGAGCTTATCAGAGATTGTGAGAATGACACAATGTTCAGATCTGTTATTCACAGAGTCACTGAATCAGTTGACTATAAGGCACCTAACAAAAGGAAACTTAACTCATGGTCTACTGGATAGGGAGCTGGTGCCAACAAACCAAACGCTGGTGGTTCAAAACCATCAGCTGCTTCAAGGGAGAATGAGTGCTAGAGGCAAGAAGCAAGCTGTGCGTGGGGAGGTATCTTAGAACCACCAAGATATAACTGCCATGTGTGGTGGATCTTTGTAGATCCAAGCCGCTGCACTCTGAGACTAGCTGATACTAGGTGAGGCCAGAACACAGGGCAGTTTCTAGGGATCACTGGTCCTACAGATGCTTAGGGAAATCAGGACTTTTCTCCACAAGACTAGGTCTTCCCCAAGAACTGGCACCCTAGATTTGTATTTCTAATATTCCTTGGAAAGGGACATCGTGCTTAGAAAGATGGAGGATCAGTGAAGGTGAGGAAGACCCCCAACGAGACGAGATGGACTGACAATGTGATTTCAGCAATGAACCCCAGAGTCGCAGAGATGGTGAAGAATGCACAGAACAGGGTGGGTTTCAGGTTGGCTGTCACAGGGTCACTGTAAGTTGTTATAGCAGCAGCATTAGATAACTAAGACCCCCAATGTTTACCTGTTTGGGGCTGAGGCTCAGTAGATGCCGCAGTCTTCAAATGAGGATAACGCAGGTCAGATATTAGCGTGAAGGAAATAACCTGACACAGAACAGATCTTTAACATTTTCCAAGTCTGAGGAAGCTCCCAGAATACTGTAGGGCAATGATGGAGCAAGGGCTCTGTCAGTATGAGACATTTTTTATTGGCCTTGGGCGTTTGTTGGAGGCATAGGTAGAGGACCCTGGGCCAAGGTGGCACGGGCCATGCTCAAAGCACCTTCTCGGGTATGATGTCCACCAATGAAGCCGCTGGCGTGGACAAAGATGCAGCCAGGGATCCCAGTGACTTCATCCAGGGCCTTGTCCCGAAGACCCCGCCATGGCTCCAGCAGGGGCAGCCTACAAGTGACCAGAAAGAAATATGGTGGGAGCAAATGAGAGACTCAGACCTGAAACTTGAGAGGGAAAGGACAAACCCCATTATTGGCAGCCTCTAATAGGGGCAAAAAAGGCCTGAAGACCTGCAGAGTGGGGCCTTACCGGCTCTGGAATGAGTGGGGCTCCTTAGGCACACACTGTACCCGCCACTGCCCAGCCTGGTCAGTATAGATAACAAAGGCAATGGCCACTGGGGGGGACAGCTCCGATTCCAGGTGGTAGAGGTGCTCCTTCCAGGGGCAACCACCTTTGGTAAGTTCCACTATCTTCCCACTTGGGTCTACCTGAAAGGAAAAGTGGGGTAGGGTTGGAAGGTTTACGGTTAGAGATGGGACCTTGGTAGTCACAGCTTGCAAGCAATCACTGACCAAGTGCCTTTTCCCGTCCCATACCTGGAAGCGCTGGGCCAGGGCCTCTTCCACTAGGGCCCGGGCTGGCAGCCAGCTGTGCTGGTAAAAGTCTAGTCTCTGGAGAAACTCCTCTCGAACCAGATCCATTGCACATTGGAACCCTGCCTGGGGATCATGACAGTCAGAACTATACTGCTGGCCTCAACTTTGGACTCTCTGAGTTTAGGAGAGAGAAATGCTTTTTTCCCTGAGGTTCCCCTGGTGCTGTCTCTACCTCTGTGTCTTGGTTGGGCTGATTCCAGGTGGGATTAAGTCGAGCAACTCGGGCACTCAGGTTCGTGGTTAGTGCATATCGAGGTTCCCCTTCTGGCCACTGGGAGATCCCATTGTCCACTGCATCCACCTCCTCCACGAAGTTCTCATACATCTAAAGTGGCAGTAGAAGAAATGCTTGTGATGATAGCTACCATTTATATAAAATTCTACATCTATAGGATTCACAAAGTAGGTTCATATATTCTCTTTCATTCTCACAATAGCCCTACGAAGATCTCTCAACATTAACTGGGTAAAGAATGGGAATTGTGATAATTTCTCAAGGTCAGATAGCTGGCACTGCTGATCTTGAAATTTTCCCCCTCTTTTTCTGTACTGTTGAATTGGACCCAAATGGCACAGGAGATTGCCCCTCCTTCTCCAACAGAGCATCTAATGGATTTGAATTGTACACCTTCAGGACTGCCACACAGCTTCTTGCCACTAGGCCACCAGTGCTCCTGAACTTGAAATTTCTAATCCAGCTCTTTCTACTATTACAAAGCATGAGCCAAGGCTAGTATGTGAAGAGGAGGCTGTTGAGTCTTGAACAAAGTTCTCAAGTTCCTCATGGGACTCTTAATTAGGATCTTTAGTAAAGATCTTTTAGTAAAAACTTCATTCAAGAATCAACAGCCCCCTCTTCAAAGACTAGAAGCAGGAGTGGCATCCACTTCCACAATAGTTTGCCTCAGGAAACCCTAGGAACCTAGAGAAAGGACAAAAGTTAAACAGGAGGTGTCCAGGACTTTTGTTTATAGGGTCAGTATGAGTTACCTGTGATTCAACGGCACTTAACAACAGCAGCTAAAGAGTAAGTGTTCAGGTGGGCTGAGGACAGGTTAAGGGTATCTGATAGCATATTTAGTTAGTGAAGTACAGGAAGAACTGGCCAAACACACAAGGCAAGGGGGAAAGAGCTAGATTACAGGTCAAAAGCTAGATGTCAGGGAGCTCTGGTGGCCTAATGGCAATAAGCTACACTACAATCCCAGAGGCATGCGGTTCGAATCCACAAGATGCTCTGCTGGAGGAAGGGCAATCTCCTGTACCAGTTGGATCAGATTTGACGGAACACAGAAAAAAGAATTTTTTTTTTTAAAAAAGCAAGCTGGATGTCGTTCTGGGGATTATGCCACATGGCATCAGAAGTGCTGCATCTAAGGCTCAACCAGGAAAAGGGAAGACAAAGGCCTCGGGAATTTTTGTGCTGAAAATTAATTTTAGAAAAATTTTTGGTGAGAAAGTAGAAAAAAATCTAGGAAGAGAATATAATCATTTAATACTTTGTGCAATCTCACTATCATCTAATTTCAGAACTCTTCTCCCCCCAAACCCCAAAACTGCATACCCATTAATAGTCACTTGCCATCCCACTCTCCACAATCCTTGGAAACTAATCTACTTTTCTATGCTTGGATTATCTTGTTTTGGACATTTCCTATAAAAGGAATTATAGTATATGCCTGAATTTTTAACTTCTTGTTGGTTGTTGTTATGTGCCGTTGAGTCGCTTGAGATTCATAGCGACCCTATATACAAAAGCCCTAAATTCTGCTCTGTCCTGTGCCAATCACACTGTCTCCGACACTCCCATCCCAATTACCCCAGTCACTGAATCAATCCACCTCATAGAGGGCCTTCCCCTCCTGCGCCATTCCCCCACCCTCCCAAGCATGATGTCCTTCTCCAAGGACCGGTCTCTCCTCACAACATATCCAAAGTATGTTAGACAGAGCCTCAGAATCCTTGCCTCCAAGAAGCCACCCAGTTTAACCCTTTCCAGGATGAATCTGTTTGTTTTCCTAGCAGTCCATGGTATTCTCAATACTCTTCTCCAGCACCACAGCTCAAAGGCATCAATTCTCCTATCCTCCTTGGTCACTGTCCAACTCTCTGATGCGTAACAAGTGATTGCGAAGACCATGGCCTGTATCAGATGCACCTTAGTCTCCAGAGAGACACCATTGCTCTTCAGTACTTTGGAGAGGTCCCTAACAGCAGACTCTCCCATGGCACTGCGCCTTTTAATTTCCTGGCTGCTGGTGCCAAGAGTGTTGACTGTGGAGCCAAGCAAACTAAAGCTGTGTACAATCTCAATCTCTTCACCATCCATCCTGATGCTGCCAATTGGTCCAGTGGTGAGAATCTTTGTCTTTTTGACACTGAGCCTCAATCCCTATTGGAGGCTGCAGTCCTTGACCCTCTGCAGCAGGTGCTTCTGGTCCTCTTTAGTTTCAGCAAGCAGGGTTGTGTCATCTGCATAACGCAGATTGTTGATAAATTGTCCACCCATCTTGACCCCACATTTCTCCTCATAGAGCCCAGCCTCCTTTATAATAATGTTGGTTTTTTAACTGAATGTTTTTTTAACATTTATCATGTTGTGGCATACAACAATACTTCATTCATTTTTGTGGCCAAGTAACACTCAGCTCTATCAATTTTGTTTATTCATTTAACAGTCAAGAGACATCTAGATGATAATCCAGCTTGCTATAGTAGCATTCTAACCCACAGTCTGCCTCTGGCCTAATTCTGACTACTGATAGTGAGCTTCTCAAATGATTTCCTTCCACAAATGTAGTCAATCTGATTCCTATGCAGCCCATTGGGTGAAATCCACATGTAAAGTCAACCTTTGTATCTTTTAGAAAAAGCATTTGCAACGAATAAATCATTGCAAATAAAAAAAATCATCATTTCTAGCCTCATTTCTATCACCAAGCTCATATTTTCCAACTACTGTTCCTTCTTCACTGTTTCCTATTTTTGTATTCCAGTCACCAATTATCATTAGCACATTCCTGATTATATGTTCAGTCAATTTTAGACTGTAAAATTTGGTAAAAATTATCAATTTCTTCCTCTTTGGCACTAGATGTAGGAGCATATACTTAAATAGTCACATTAACAAGTCTTCCTTGTATGTGTATGGATATTATCCTATCACTCACAACATTGTATTTCAGGATAGAACTTAAAATGGACTTTTTGACTATGAATGCCACACCATTCTTCTGTTTTTCATTCCCTGCACAGTACACCTTCTCCAAGGACCAGTCTCTCCTTACAACATGCCTCACATACTTTGGACATACTGCCAGGTGTTGTTATTCTTTGGAGAGGGACATGATGTTGGGAAGGGTGGAAGGTCGGCAAAGGAGAGGAAGACCTTCAACTAGGTGAAGTGATACAGTGACTGCTGCAATGGGCTCTTGTGTGGCAGAGACTGTGAAGATGGCACAGGACAGGACTAGGTTCAGATCTTTTGCTCACAGGGTTGCTGAGAGTCATATTCAACTCAATGGCACCTAACAACAACAATTACAACAACATTAGTATTCAAGTAAACTCAAAGAGTTTTGGGATAAAAATATTACTTCAGTTGAGTCAGTATTTCATACAGATTCTCAACACAGAAACATGGGGTACAAAGGAAAAAGTGTTACTCAAGGATTAAAAAAGTTTCTTTGTATAAAGCATTTCTTGATCTGGACCCCTACCTGATGGTCAATTAAAACTTGGGTTTTACTTAGTTATTGGTTAATTGCTTAGAAAGCCCTCAGCAATGGAAAGGAAAATTAATCCAGGTAGTCTAGAACTTCAGGATAAGGACAGACTGGTCCTTGGAGAAGGACATCATGCTTGAGAGGGTGGAGGGACAGCACAGGAGGGGAAGACCCTCTATGAAGTGGATTGATTCAGTGACTGGGGTATTTGGGATCGGAGTGTCAGAGACCGTGCAATTGGCACAGGACAGAGCAGAGTTTAGGGCCGTTGTACATAGGGTCGCTATGAGTCGCAAGCGACTCGACGCCACATAACAACAACAAGAAGCCTAGAACTTTGGTATTCTAAAAGCTTCAATTTGTTAAGATCTTATTTCTTTTTGGGATCATACTAAAATTTTGCTGTAAAGGATAAAGAGGCAAACAAAGACAGAGAACTGAACTCTAGCCTACACGTATCTCCCACCCCTAAGCCAGAATCAGAGGTTTTCCTTTGAGGGAGCTCTTGTGGCCTAGTGGTAAGAAGCTGCACTGCAATGCCAGCCACACAGTCTGAATCCACCAGGTGGTCCACAGGAGATGGATGGGCAATCTCCTCCGATGTGATTAGCACACAACATCAAAGGTTTGCCTTTGAACTTGACAGGATGGTAGGGGTTCAGAATATTGTTTACTTGATGCCAGGACCACAATCCTTGGTTTTCCCCAGGAATTGGAACTGCTGAAGTGCTTGACGGGACTATGGGGCCGCTATTTATTTTCATAATCAAGTGTTTCCCAGCCAAACTTGTCATATGCTACTGAACATTAATACAACTTACCCAAATGTGCTATATAGTAATTTTTCTGTATGTCTGGTCAAGAAAACGACTGGGAAACACTATGGGTTTCAAAGTTTTCAAGTACTATCCACGCCTCACACCACTCAGTACCCATAGAGAGGAGTTATTCCCATTGTGAGAGGATAAGCCTGAGAGAGTAATTGTCAGGGATTGTGGTTGCTGTTGATTGCCTTCGAGTCGAGCACAACTCATAGCAATCCTATGAACAAAAGGCCTGAAGCCCCTCTACAACCATTGACATTTATCCAAGATCATAGCAACCCTGAACTCCCGAGACCCAAGTTTGAGTGCTGTGTGAGCATCATTGCCTGCTGGCCTAACAGAGATGCACGTGGCAAATCTCTTCTTTTGGGTCCCCACCTTGTCATAGAGGGTGCCCACCATGCTGTCCTCTTCACTAGTGCCCAGCAACTGGGCCAGCAGCTTGTGCCCGAAGTGCAGATAGACGAGTCCTGCACTGCTCAGCTTGGTCTGCCAAGGCTTTCCAGGGGACAAGGAGCTCATGGTCTCAGTGAAAGACCTGGGAAACACAAGGAGACAGGATTGAGAAGGGGGAGGCTTCAAGTACCCCACAGCATATGTGCTTGTGCAAACACCTGGGGGATGGGTCAGGGGTGGCAAGCACTGCATCAACTGGGTGGGCATTAGCTTTTCCTCAGGGATTAATATGGACTTTTAGCCTTGAGTCTCCCTGCTTTCAAATTCACCATCAAATGCTGACAAACACAACCAACCAAGTGAGAGTGCTACAGAGAGTGTGTATGAGGAGAGAAGGAAACATTCCTGAGAAAAAGATCCTTAAGGTCAATTCTGAAAGATGAATCATGGATAAGGGGAGGCGTGTTTGTGAAAAAGAAACAACATTTGAGACAAAAGATGTGTAATATAGCTAAAAGTCTCTTTACGGACTGCAAGAAAGGAACCCCAGCTGTGAGAAGTGAGTAGCACTTCTGTAAGAATAAGCAGGGACCAGATCATTACCAGCCTTAGATTCTGTGCTTATGAGTTTGGACTCTCCCTGCAGGTAAACAGATGCCACTGAGGTGTTTTTAAAGTAGGTAAGTACATGTTTAAAAGAGCACTGTACCAACCAGTATGCCTAATAGATGCAGGGAGAATATCTTCAATAGCCTGAGTGAGGGAGTCAGGAATATGAGCATCAGTGGAGCAGAGAATACAGAATGTTAAGAAATTAAAAACCACAGCTGTGGTGAGCTCTGGTGGTCTAGTGGCAAGAAGTTGCACTGCAATCCCAGAGGTATGCGGTTCAAATCCACCAGATGCTCTGCTGAAGGAGGGACAATCTCCTCCTCTACTAGTCAGATCCGATTTGATGGTACATACATAAAAAGTAATAAAAAAATTTAAAAAAAACCCACAAAACAAAATAAAAAACCACAGCTGTGATTTCCAGATTCCAGTCTATCAGAATTATTTAGTGAGTCATTATTTTAAATTGTTTTTTTATTAAGTTTTGAACAAACAAAATTATTATAAAATACTCATATAAATACATAAAGAGTAGGCTTTAAAAGCTCTCTAAAGTTCATAAACAAGTAATACTAAACAATACATTGTTTATGAAACACTCACATGTGGTAAAAATCATACATAAGAAAAAGAGTATGATCAATAAAAATTTGGGCTATCGCTTGCTTCTGTGGAGGCAGAAATAAGACAGAAAAGCAGCACATATGTACAGATGCAAAGATAATGGAAATGTTATAGTTGTTAGGTTAGGAGAGATAAGTTCAGGGGTATTTATGTTTTATATTCCATATAAATGTTAAAACTATTTCTCAAAGTATGTAAAAAATTGTTATATACTGTCGAGTTGGAACCAACTCATAGCTGACCCTCACGTGGGTTTTCAGAGACAGTAAACTGCACGGGAGGATACTGCCCATCTTTTTTCTGCGAAGTAGCTGGAGATCTGACTCATGTGTCTTTGGGATTGTAGTACAGCTTCTTACCACCAGGCCACCAGAGTATTAGGGTAAAAAACTGGGGGGGGGAAGTAGACAATAATGTCAAAAGCCACAAAGAAGTTGGTTGAAGTGAGGCTGTGAAGCAACTGAATGGTGGAGAGGTCAACTGGGGCCTATTCCATAAGCAGTTCCAGTGAAGAGATAGGATATGAACTACTGCAGTGGGCTAGGGTGGAAATGAATCTGAAAGAAAGGTAGATTCAGTGTCAGGTACACTTTTGAAGAGTGGCTGAAAAGTTAGGGCAAGAGATCAAGTTTTAACTATAGGGAGGGCTAGCTCCAGGTACCATGTAAAAAATTCAATTTGTACAATGTTTTAAAAAACCTACAATACTGAAAACAAATATATTTTAGGCATCCTCATAATGCCTTAATGATAGTTCTTAATAATTTAGGGTAAATGACGGTAGGGTTTTTTGCTTCTGAATTCACTTTGTTTTCAAGATGAGGTTCCTGAGCAAGGTTTTAGGCTATAGAGAAAGAAAACACTACTAGTGAGTGAGACAGGACAGGAATTCCCAGAGGTGAAAGTAATGAGACTAAAATGAAGGCACAGGATTAACCTGCAATAGAAGGGAACAACTTTCCTGAATTGGGAGGAAGTGAGGGTAATCAAGAGTGGGAAACTGAGTACGTGAAATAAAAAGCTTCATTTTCTACGTAGCAGGCAGGGACTATCACTGAGAAAGTCTGATGAGATAAAGACTTGGAGTGGAAAAAGGACTGGAATGGGTCTAAGGATTAATGCACTATCCTTGAATAAGAAAGATGTCTCAATGAAAAGTGTAAGTGTTAAGAGCACATTTGAACCAGTCCAATTCCACCACGACTGGGTCCAGCCAGCCTGATGTGGGACAAGGGGAAATGAACAGATGGATGGATTCAGACAGGGAATTAGTGAGGTGATTACTGTGCTGGTGGAAGCCAAAGGCGGCGCTAAGTCCGGAGGAGCTCCTCTCAACCTGCCTGAGTTGTCATATGTGAGGTGATCTGGGAAGCCAAGGGGAGAGAGAGACATGAAGGGCAGGTAGCTGGGAGGATGGAAGGCTGCAGTCCCTAAGGGAGCGAGGTGTTTTAGTTCCATGAGGACACACTTGCCTATGCTGACAACAAACAGCCTGGTAGCGGATGACTAAAGCAGAGCACGAGGAGAAGATGAAGCCAAGGTGGATAAACAAATGGGATTTTAAACTCACCTCTGGTGATGGTCATACCGATGTCTCCGAGGGTCATACTCGCCACCCACATCCACCACGATGTCACAAGAGGCCAGTTTTTCGGGGTCCCGAGTCCGCACAATCTCTGCATCCTGCAGAGGACACTGATGTTGCCAGGAGCCACACAGGCAGGGGATTAATGCTGGGTTTCTGGGGGCTGTCGGGGGTCTAAGGTCTAAGAATTATGCGGGCTCATGTTACAGAAACGTGCGGGGAGCCTTGGCGGTAAGTGGGCAGACCCAGGGTCAGCGGGTCAACTCTGCGGGACCATACCCGGTATTCTGGCAGGAGTCGAAGCAGGGCGCAAGCCAGCGCCTCGTCGCAGTGGAAAGTGCCGTTGTGCGTTCCGATCCGGGGCGGTGCCATGAAGTCCCCACGAGGACGTTTGAGGGGCGGGGCGGGCTCGGGTCCGAGCATGCGATGCGGAGCCGGGAGAGCTGGCAGGGCCCGCGAAAGCAGCAGCGGCGGCAGCAGTCGAAGGTGGCGCGGGAAGAGCTGTCCCATGCAGCACCTCCGGCAGGAACGCAGGGACGACCCGGAAGGGGAAGGGCCCACGCAGCCGCACTTCCGCTCACAAGGTGTTCCCACGGCAACCAGCCAACCCGTCCCTCCCAACGGCAACCTGCGGGGACTCGCTGGGCGGCGCAGAATGTTCCTCAAAACCTGAAGCCCCACCCCATCGGGCAGGGGGTACCTTCTCGAAATGCACTGCCCGGCACGCTGCCCACCCATCACAGACCCTGCTATATATGCCCGAAGGAAAAATAAAACCCCCAACATTCTGCCCAGCTGGCACATTTATTAACATAAACACAAGAACCACAAGTCTTCCCCCTACCACCCCACCCCACTCGGAAGTCAAGTCATAGAGTCCCAGGCCCCTAAAAGCAGGTGCCTCTGCTCCATTTCTCAAAAAGCTCAGGCCTTAGCAGTTGCCTGAGATGCACCAAGAGCTGTGAGCTGCTGAATCTTCTGGCTCATCATCTCCATGACAGCTACGGAAGGAAAATGAAGAATCAGACCCTGGTCAGAAGCTAACCTTGTTGCTGTGTACTGTCAAGTCTGAACCGACCCAGAGCTGACCTTACAGAGGGGAAGAGACTGCTGCCCATCTGTCTCCGTGGAGCACCATACCTTTGGGCTGCCAGCCCAATTCCTTACCACTAGGCCACCAGGGCTCCCTAAACATGTCCTAGGGTTATGAAACCATGCCAAAAATAAAGGAAACATAAAGGATAAAAACAACATACGCCAGAATTTTAAAGGTGGAGAGTCAATCCCTTAGTCTGTAAAGAAAACTTTTTAAATCCTTGATCCACTGTGGGGAAGCACACAAATTCAGAACTTCTTTCAAATTAATCATCACATTAGCAAAATGAATTGGTTTTTTAAACAGTCAGACAAAACCCAAAAATTCTGTAATACAAATTTTTTCCTTCAGAAGTGGTTCTCAGTCCTATGTAACAGGATCACCTGAGGAAAATTAAAAAATACAAAAACAAGGAAGCTCTGGTGGCCAAGTGGCTAGAAGGTGCACTGCAATCCCAAAAGTGTGCAGTTTGAATCCACCAGATGCTCTGCTGGAGAAAGAGGGACAATCTCCTCCTGCACCAGTCAGATCCGATTTGATGATGTGTGTACACACACCCCCCCCCCCAAAATCAGAAAACCCCTGGGAGCTCATCCCTAGAAACTGATTGAAATTGGCCTGAGGTGAGCTTAGGCTTTTCTTTTTAATTCCCCAGGTGATTCCATATGGAGCATGGCTAAGGTCCCATATAGAATCTGCTGGAGATTTAAAACTAAATTACTTAAGTTGTGTTTTTTTTAAAAAACCCAAAATATAAAACCAAACCCATTGCAGTTGAGTCCTATAATGCCATGCCATCTCTGTCACACCACAGGACAGGGTAGACCTGACAGCGTAGAAGAGGCTGTAAGAAAGCCTGATTTTTCTCCAGTGGAGTAAACCTTCTGGTTAGCAGTCCAAAGCCTAACTCATTATACTGCCAGAGCTCTTATATAAGAAAGAGAATTCTTCCCCTTGTGTATTCATTTAACATCTAATCTCTCATTCTATCCCAATTAAACAGGAGCCCAACAAGAATGTAGAAATTATTTCCTCCCTCTAAATTTCTCAAGCACTAACCAAGAATGTACAAATAGCAAGAACACAGATCTAAAAAATACATCAAAACACCAAGAATAAAGTCTTAATCTAGCAAAGGGAACACTTTCTGATTCACATTGTAAGCCATGTTCTTAACTATGAAGGCATAAAACGGAATCAAGAGGGAAGTTCCCAGGCCAAGCTTACCCTGTTTCATGGCATGTTTTTCTTGTAGGGCTGGCTGGATTTTCTCCATCTGCTTGGTGAGGAAGTCTATCTTTCTCTTGAAGAAGTCCTTGGCATCCTCAGCTGTCTGCAGAGGTCAGAGAACAGGCTTGATGCTGCACCTTAGACCTTTCCCTAAGCTTAAGGAGCTCTAGTAGCCAATCCCTAAGACAACCTTACCCTGCTCAGAGAGCCATCTCCATGTTTCCTCCAACTCACCTTCTCTACATAGTAGCCAGTTCCCACATCAATGAGCACATGTTCCACATCATGTAGTTTCCCAGGGACATACATCTGAGAAGAAAGGATTAAGGGAAAAAAAACCTATCCAGAACGAACCATGATTCTTTTGTCAGCCAGCCTGCTTGGCTCAAGACTATCCTTTTCTAAAATGCAGTAAGACACTGGGAGTGAATGATCTTGAGGCTTTTGAACTATACCTATATACACCACATTGGGAGAGATAGAAAAATTGGTTCCCTGGCCGTCACCTTCCACCCTGTAGGCAGTTTCTGTTAATTCCTCCCATTAGCCCTTCCAGAATGTGATATATAATGATGTTTTCCTTTTATTCTAGTATGGTATAGTGTTTGGAATCACAGAAGCCAAAAAAGCTTCAGATACAAGCTGTCAGATCATGGGTTGGACAATGGAACATAATTTCTGAAGGGATCTGGTAGATGTGAAGGGGTATCCTGGTGGAGAATGGAGCTGGGAAATAAGTGGGTCAAGGCACTGGGCTAAGGGCAGGGACAACACTGTAATTAATGGTTAACTCCACAATGAGGGATTTCTCTTTCACTGCTCCACAAATTGCTTGTCTGTCAGATATTCCTCTAAATCTGAACATTCAGATGAAGACAGACTAGGAAGAAGGATTGGCCATCCACTTCTGAAATAGCAGGCCTCTGAAAACCCTATGTACAATAGAAGACATGTAGACTAACAGAAAGGGCAATCTAGGTAGAACTTTCAAGTATGGAAAGACAAAGGAAGAGGAACAGTTGTAAGCACACCCTAGGGATTGGAACATGGAATGTGAGAACCATGAATGTAGGAAAATTAGAAATTGTTAAGAAAAAAATGGAATGCATAAATATTGGCATATTAGGCATTGGAGAGATGAGATGGACTGGCATGGGGCATTTTGAGTCAGATGATCATATATTACTCCGGAGATGAAAAGATGAGGAAAAATGGGGTTGCCTTCATAGTACAAAAAGTACTTTCTAGATCTATCTTGAAGTACAACATCATGATAGGATTATATCCATACATTTACAAGGAAGTCCAGTGAATACCACTATCTTTCAGATATACGCACCAACAACCAGAGCCAAAGAAAAAAAATAGATGATTTCTACCAACTCTTACAGTCGGAGACAGATCGAACATGCAGTCAAGATGCATTGATAATAATGGGTGACTAGAATGCAAAAGGTGGGAACAGAGAAGAACAATCAGTAGTTGGAAAACATGGACTTGGTGAGAGAAATGAAGCTGGAGATAGAATGACTGAATTTTGCACAATCAATGACTTCATTGCAAATACGTTTTATAAGAAACAAAGGCAGGCTATACACATGGATTCCACATGATGGTATGCATAGGAATCAGATCGATTACATCTGCGGAAAAAACTGCTGGAGAAGCTCAATATCAGCTGTGAAAACTAGGCACGGAGCCTATTGTGGAACAGACCACCAACTACTCATATGCAAGTTCAAGCTGAAACTG